TTCAAATCAGTACAATTGAACTCGAATTAGTACATCAGCGACTCATCCTTAAACGCAGCAGAATTGCATTTAAATTGTTTTGTGGTAACTTTTGCTGTTCGTTCCCAAGTTAATAGCATTATTTCATCTTCACTTACACCTCATTTTTTCAAGGTGATGATGCCTGGTTTCCATGACTTTGAATAATATACTATATGTTATTATCTATAGACTATAAATAATATAGACTATATGTTAAGTTCTAATATATACTATATGTTATTATCTATATACTATAAATAATATAGACTATATGTTAAGTTCTAATATATATGTGTATACAATTATACAATATATTAAAAATACTATATATTAAAAAAATCTTAATGTTGAAGGATAAGAATAAATGTTGCGCAAAACTTTCAGCGATAGCCTAGCGTGGCCCAATGGTAACGAGGCGCCCCCAAAGATAACGGACTCACTCGAACCCGGGTTCGAGTCCCGAATTTGGGATCCTCGTGCTATATTTTTTGGCATTTAAAAAACGGATTCCAGAAATCCGTTTTTCAAATAAATAAATTTAAATAAATCCGTTTTTCAAATATTTTTTGGCATTTATAAAACGGATTCCAGAAATCCGTTTTTCATATAAATATTTTTTAAAAAACGTATTAAGAAAATACGTTTTCTACTGGGCATGGAAAAAAAATACAAGTTTTTTCTATTGTAACACCCACAAAACCTGTTCTAACAATCCAAAACAACAAAACAAATCGAGAATACACAATCTAAACCAAAATTACAGTAAATACCATCCAAACAATTCCAAACAAATCATCCAAACAAATTAAAATAATCCAACCAAATCCAAATGAACTCTCCAAACAAATCCGAATGAACACTAACAAATCTAATTTCCCCACTCATCACGAAGTCTAGACCTGTCGGTGCGAGGATGTGAAGACGGACACTCATCCACAACATGATTTGGATCACCGCATCTAGTGCACTGTCCCCTATCCCTCCTGCGGCGTGACCGGCGATCCATTTGCATGCGATATCGTCTCGTTTGCACGCGACCGGGTCCAGGCTTCAAGATCATCCTCTCCCAGTGTGGTATCAATTTCCACTCGACCGACGCCCATGTATCCGGATTACCAATCGGAGCAATACTCCAATCACGAAATTGAGCTACCCAGTTCTCCGTCCAAAAATACTCACTAAACAACAGTTTTGGGTCGGTCTCAACTGAACGACAGACGGCTGACGCATGAGAGCATGGTTTCCGATGCGTCTGCCACTTCCGACAACTACAACGTTTTCGGTTGTAATCTACCTTATACCTGTAATAATTCCCCAGTGATTTATACATATACAATATGAAAAAATTTAAATTTAATGGACAAACAACAAAGTAAAAAAAAATATACTTACATGTTTTGCCCTCTTCCACTCGCCCGTAAACCGGTTTCCACTTCGTACATGGAGCTGTCCGCGTCCCTAACATGGACATTATGAGTGGCGCCTGTCTGCTCCAATTGCAAATATGCGTTATAGTGCTCCGTAGCAATGGGAGTCCTGCATCTCGTGGACTTGTTTTGTTCCTGTTGAAACAAATCCAGAGTTTTATGCAATGTGGCATCTACCAAAGCTCTGCACGGCAGGAACCTAACCCCTTTCAGCACGTTGTTGTAACTCTCCGACATATTCGTTGTCAATGTGCCCCACCTGCGTCCTCCTTTATCTTTTAACTGGGTCCACTTCTCCAAAGGAATTCGAAAAAGGTAATTGTGTGCCTCGGGATTCAATGCCAACAGTCGCTGTTCTGTCTCTCGAAACTTTCGCTCCGACAACTGCGAACCCAATTCCCAACACCAAGTCTGAATTTTCTTACTCCTGAAATTAGTCACCACGTTGCTTCGAAGGTGTCGAAGGCAAATTCGGTGATACGCAGCGGGTTCTTGCCAATCTGGTAATGATTCGATGGCACTGAGTAGGCCCGCATCCCTGTCAGAAAGAATGCAGATACGTCTCTGGAAGACTACATGTTGCCGCAGATTCCTAAGGAAAAATGACCAACTGTCCGTGCTTTCTTCATCGGCAAGCGCATACGCGACCGGCAATAACCGCTTATTCGCAGTCTGTGCTACGGCCACAAGCAATTTTCCCTTGTAAGATCCACGCAAATGTGTGCCATCGACGCTAATAACCGGCGGGCACCTTCGTAAAGTTTGAATGGCGGGACCAAACGCCCAAAATACAAATTTGACTTGTCTGTCTCGAAGGTGTCGAGCCATTTCCCCACCCTGCCACTCCCACTCTACAACTGTGGAGGGATTCGTTCTTTGAAGCGCGGCAAAATACCTACACATTACAAAACAGTTTCATAATAAATAGATAAACATAGCGACAGACATTAAATAAATATACTATATTTGTAATTAATTTTTGCTTACTGAGGGAGTTCTGCGAAGTTCGATTCCCAAGTGCCATACACACTCTCGATGGCTTTTCTCCTTCCGTGCCATGCCTTCTTGTAGCTGACATCCACTTTCCAACACTGTTTCACATCAGCCTGGATCATGTCGACACCGTACTCCAATTTCTTTCGAATCTTATTACGAATGAGATTTGAAATCATTTGGGCGGTTACATTTCTGTGGTCATTTCTCTCGACCGGTTGCATACAAGTGTGACTATCAGTCCATTCCGTTAGTTCCCACAATTCATGAACCCGTTTGGACTTAGTCACCCGAGCCTTCCACAGACAAGGCGAATCTTCACTAGATCTGCAGACCACTTTGTATGACTTTTGATTCGAATCATTTATCCGAATCTCCCGCAACCTATCGACGTTCCAAGCCATCAGAGCCATTTGGGCTTCTTTCTTGCTCCGAAAAACTATACCCAAACGTATGGTCTCAATGTCGCCATTCCAGCGTGGAATAACATACTCGTCCGCATCTATCCTGGACGGGTCCCATTCACCCATCTCGCGGTATACGTGCCGACCACCACTAGGAAAGGGGTGTTCTTCTTCAATGAACTCAGCTTCACTCTCCTCATTTACCGATCTATCTGATTCGGTTTCTGAGGTCTCGTCTGTGAAATCATCTTCACCGAGTACGAACTCTTCATCACTTTCTTCCTCGTCCCCATTTGCCCTTTCTCTAATTGGTGAGCTTGTCCCTTCTCCAAAATTACGTAGATGAGAAGTCGACGTGCCCTCATCCATTCCCCCGTAATAAGGAGTAAAATCCTCAAACTGTGGAACCGGTGTAATTGCCTCCAACGATAAATGCAAATACACAACGGACATAGGAGGAGAGAGATAAATCCATTGCATAGCACTTTCGTTATCGAGTCTTCCGGCATTTCACGAACCATCGCGTTGACGAAACATTAAAGTAATATGTTCAATTGTCCAACCTTCTCCAAACCGACAATTTTCATTAATCATCTGTACCAATTCTCCATTAGATATCCTCCCCGTAATAACAAATGAACCATCCGGACGATCTATAAATGAAAGAAATTGTTCTTTCGCACATCGCCAATACAAATTAACAAAATATGGACCGAAATACTCCATTTAGTCCTATTGAAAAAAAAATACAAATATTCTTTGAACCCAATTTTTTACTTCCAATCGATTAATCCTCCAAAACCCTAATACAAATAATCCAACAATAAATTAAAACCCCTAATTTCAAAAAACCCTAACCCCAACAACAACAAATCAATTTGCAATTGACAATTTCCAACAAAATTCTAATCTCCAATTCAACATACACACAAAATCGATAAACAATTAACAATTATCAAGCTTCAAACACCACCACATTCAAACATATTATAACAATCCCTAATCTCCAAACAAATCCAAAAATGTAATAAGTTAAGATAAGCCAATATACCTCGTGCGAATGAATTAACCAAAAATGAGATTCGTGTTGTTGTTATCGATTTACGTTGGGGTAGCAATTGGACCGAGTTTTTTTTTTCGATAAACCTCGCTCTCTCTCGCTGTTGTGCTGTGTTGAATGGTCGCGCAGAAATGGAGAAGAGAGTGGAACAAATTTTATTCCATTGTAAAACGTATTACAAAAATACGTTTTACACTTATTTAATTGTAAAACGTATTCTTGTAATACGTTTTACTTTATTTAAAAAACGAATTATTTTTTTTTAAAAAACGTATTTCTATAATTCGTTTATTAATTTTTTTTTATTAAAAACGTATATTTCAAATACGTTTTACAATTATCAATTTTTATTTAATTCGACTCTTTTTAAAAAGAAAATAAATATTTTTAACATTTTACAAAATTAATATAAAAACGTATTCTATGAAGACGTTTTTCTGATAAACTTTAATTAGTAAAACGTAATCATAGAATACGTCTTTTTGATTTTTTTCCACTCATTTTTTTTTTGTCCACTTTTTTTTTTATGTTTTTTAAATAAATAAACTACTCTCTTGGGACATCTATAGAAATTTGCATTGTGAGTAATTTGTTTTATTAAGCTTTAGCATTCGATTTCCCGATTATACTATAACATAGTTGACAAAATAAAAGGAGCAACTATATATCTAAATTAATTAATATTATACATAGTGTACTTATTTTACAAGTAGTCAATACAATTTAAATAAGACAAGAATTAGCTAGACACACTCCATTTAGACTAATTTTGTTTTAGGGAGAATAAAATAATCCAGCCGAAAAAAAAAAGAAAAAAAAAGCATCCAAGTATCCAACACCCACTAGACTCCCCACCAAAATATATCGAGCGTGCGGGAAGCACGTGCCAGTGACACCGAAACCTGAACGTCCTATGGAGGCGACACGTGTGAGTCGCCGTCTACCGCATAAACAACGTCCTTATTTCCGTTCAACTTCTCCTTCATCCATTATTATTTCATCTTTCTTTTATTATATTTTTTAAACATAAATCTGAAAATAGAAAGTTGAAAAGGACGAATACCACCAGAAATCTCTGTATTCATAAGCGTAGACTCTCTCTCTCTCTCTCTCTCTCTTAGGGTCTTTGATCCAAAGAAGTTTGAAAAAGCAGGTCAAATCGAGAAGCTAAGTGCAGTCCACAAACAAATCGATGGTGCAGTTGATGAAGAACGGCGGCGGATCGGACTCGCAGACCCAAAAGATGGCGGTGGTGAAGATGGAGTTGGAGGATTCCTTGGAAGAGGAGCACGGCCCACTTCACAAGCGACCTAAAGTATTTTTTTTTAAAGTTATTCGTAGTTCATTATTCAGCGAAAAATGTCCTAGTATATGGGAAAGTTTGAAGCTTTGGACTTGTTCTTTGCCAGTTATCAAATTATCAGTTCATTGGATTTAGTTTTGTTTGTTTGTTTGTTTATTAATTTGTTTCCTGATGTGGTTTTTGTTTGGTCTCTGTTGGAGTTTGTGATCATGTGGATGGGATTTTGATAAGTTGCGTTTTCTTGTTAATTTGGGTCAGCTGCTATTGTCAGTTCTATGCCAGTTGATGTTGCAAGAAATCTGTGTCTATTTCCATTTCTTCTTGCTTTAATGGGCTATTGCAGATGTTAATATTGTCTGATTTTGTTTTGCTGCAGCAGAGTTTGGGAATGGGTGTCTTATCAGTGCCACCCTCACAGTACAACCCTCTTGACGAGCCAAGCCCATTGGGCTTACGCCTCAGGAAAAGCCCATCTCTTTTGGAGTTGATTCAGATGAAACTTTCTCAGTCAACCTCACCAAGAGCAGGCAATCACAGTAGAAAAGAGGCTTCAAAAGCTTCTGCTGATAAGTTGAAGGCCTCCAATTTTCCGGGCTCGCTTCTGAGAATCGGAGCATGGGAGGTACAGAAATTGTTCAAATGTAGTCTAGTGCTGAATCTTTTATCCGGTATTATACGAAAAAATGATTTTTTGGAAATTGCAGTATAAATCAAGACATGAAGGGGACTTAGTGGCAAAATGTTATTTTGCGAAGCATAAGCTTGTGTGGGAAGTTCTTGATGGGGGCCTCAAGAATAAAATCGAAATTCAGTGGTCGGATATTATGGCGTTGAAGGCGAATTATGGGGATGATGGTCCCGGGACTTTGAATGTTGTGGTAATAATACACTGCTATTATTGTGTTGTTAATTTTAGCAGTTTGAACTTACTGAAATAATGTTTATAACAACTCCGAATTCTTTTCATTGTTCATTGGCAGTTGTCTCGACAGCCGCTTTTTTTTAGAGAGACTAATCCGCAGCCAAGGAAGCATACTCTCTGGCAGGCAACTTCAGATTTTACTGGTGGACAAGCTAGTATGCTTAGGTGAGACTAAGACATTCTATTTTTAGCATGTCCAATTGCATTTATACCACATTTTTTTGTGTGTAAAAGTTTCTTTATTTTCCATCTTGTCTTTTGAGTGAGACCATTGCTTTTATAGCTACTCCAATTATTTTTTATTAGCTGAGGAAATTGGCTCTCTTAGCTCTCTCTGCATTAATGTTTTCTTTTTTCGCATAGTCATCTGTTCTTGAATTCCTACCATTACATTTGTAAAGAACTGTTCTTTCTAGTTGCATTTTCAAACATGCATGATGAGTATTCCTAACAGGGAAGTTACCATTTATCTTATATTACGATGTTTGATTTTGTTCTACTGTTATTTATTTTTCTAAATGCAGGCAACACTATCTGGAGTGCTCACAAGGCCTACTGGGAAAACATTTTGAGAAACTTATGCAATGTGATCCCCGCTTAAACATTCTCAGTCAACAAGGAGAGATTATTATAGATTCTCCGTATTTTGAACCGAGAATATCCGTGTTCGATGACCAGAATGAATGCAAAGACAGTTTCGATTTAAATGCAGAGGGAAGTTCTTCGTTGTTCAGCTTGCAGGATGTTAATTCACCATCTGTTGTTCAGTCTTCTTCCCCAAAGAATGATATAATAGATGCAACTGGCGGACACTCGGGATCCTACCCTCGTGAAACACCTTCGCCAGTATCAGGTTAGTTTCATCACTGGATATAATAATATCTTAAATGAAATTCATTTCATGTTTTGTAGAACTATCATCATTTTAAGATGGCGTATGTTGCATTTCTAATCTTGTTCATTTAAAATAATATTCTTGTAGTTGCAATTTTTTGAGTCTTTGTCCATGTGAAATGGTGCATTTTGTCTTCAATGTCTTTAGCTGTCCCTAGATTATCAACATACTTTAGGGTGTGATTTGATATAAACTAGACTAGTAAAAAAACAAGGTAAAACTCAAATTTAACTCAACTTTAACCCAATCCCACTATTCTCAATATTATCAATATAACTAAATAATATCAATCAATCATTCTTACACATCACCTCGACTTTAATTCACTATTCATCCGCTAAAATAGTTTTAACTAACCATCACTTCCAATCATTTTTCTCCTACTTTACATCAAATCAACTTTAATTATTTTATTTTAAATGTTATTTTAATTTAAACTTAAATTTCCGCTAACAACTAATCGTATCACTTTTTTTAAAATTAACTATGATTAACAAAAAACCAAATCAAATCCATATTCAATCGCATCCTTAATATCCTGAAATCTAGATAAAAGATCACAGCTTTCTTATCTTTTAGCTTATTCAGAAGGAATGCGGTGTGTACCTTAGGTGGTCGGCCCTTGGTGAGATAGTGCAGTGTTCTAAACACAACTTTAAAGCTCAAACAAGAATGATTAAAACCAAGTCAAGGCCTTCTACATTTTCTATCATGTCAAAATATGAGTCTTTCTGTCATCGCTTAGAACTTAGCTCACGCGTTTGAATCATTTCTTTAAAAAAAAAAAAATGGAAGGAAGAAAGAAAAAGAAGAGCAGTAAACTAGATAAACATAATCACGTTTTTCTTATCTTTCGACACAGCCATTAATACACCAACAGTGGAGCAGCTGAACCTGAAAGAAGTAGGGAAGTGGGAAGATATGATAGTCCCCGGCCTACGTTCTTCCATGTCAATGAGAGATCTTGTCAGCCACCTCGAAAACCGCATTTCAGAACATCCCGAAAACCCTACACTCTCAAGTGAGGATTGGCAGAGCCTCCAAATTCTCGATGACATAAACCGATGCCTCTTCTCAGATTCCCAAATTCCACCAGACGAGAAGTCTCTCATGTCCAGAGTTAACTCTCTCTGCTGCCTCCTCCAAAAAGACAATAATAACCTTAACCAACCTCCCTCTCAAAATGAAGGAGAAGTGGGCCCGGCAGATATGGCGAGGAAAGATTCGGTTGGGGATTTGCTTATGAACCTGCCAAGGATAGCTTCCTTGCCTCACTTCTTGTTCAATATTTCTGAGGATTATGAGACTCGTGGGCCCGAGTGAGTGAATTGGGGTTTCTTCTTCAAGTGTATAGTGAAGTTGTAGTTTTTGTTTTTTTTCAGTCATTTGTGATTTGTCTGGTTGATTTGATTTGTTGTGTTTTTCGGTTTATAGTTTGTTTGGTTTGGGGGGATTCGGAGATTGAGGTTGATGATGGGTCCTCTGCTATACTGTGTCATTTGTGTATTCGAAGCTTTTTATGTTCGCTTGTAGGAGGTTTATGTATGTGTATTCGAAAATTGTACACTTTTACTTAAGGGTTCGTACGTTTGCCGGTTGTTTGTTGGACTCTTTTAGTTACAGACGGTTTTACACCAAGTATGCTGATTTTTACTTGCTTTTTTTTCTTCATTTTTTTTTCAGTCATATGTGAGGTAGTCTTGCTAGGACATTGGTTATTTTGAAGTTTTCATTTTCTTTAGATAATAAACAGTTGACAGCAGCAACATAATCAGGACCTGACTAATCTTTGCCACATTCAGTTAGAAAAAAATTATACAAGCTACAAATCTCAGTTCTAATTTGTACCAGCTTTCAGGTAAAACACAAACACAAGAAAAGAGTGAAAAATTCAAAGTAAAATAATAAATAAAAAACACAAACAAACACAGGTATGCAATTGCAGCTGATACAAGTCACAAACCTTTCATATCTAGTCCCTACAGCTATATATACCAGAATATATACATAAAGGATAGATAAGCATATGTAAGGATTATTAACATACAAACAACAGAATTTCAATTCCTATGTTCATCCACTGGTTCATTCTCTTCTAGCATGTCCATAAGCATTGTTATCTGGTTCTGAAGCATTGCATTCTGTCTCTCCACATCAGCTCGTTTGGTCCTTTCATCTAAAAGCTGCAGCTGAAGGTGCTCTAGGCAACGTGAGTCCTCTTCTAATTGCTCGTTAAGCCCATCAATCTCTCTATCCTGCATGCAATATTTCAAAATTTATATTTTTTCATTCGATTGCGCAAGAGGCAAAGTGCAGAGAAATATATATTCTATAGAATAATTACACTCCCAGCATTTGAATTTAACCCAACTACAGAAAAAAGAGTAGATTACACAAAATTCCATGAACTACTATCCTTATTCTGTCGATTTGAT